TTGTTTAATAAATTTTTTTATTTAATATAATTTAAATTATAAAATTTAAAATACTTGGCTCGAAGAGTCAAGTAATCTCCCATCACATTGTGGTGCATCTTTTTCTCATCTTGGACAGGTTCGAACCCGCCCTTGGCACATTGCTAAAAAAAAAATTATAAAATTTAGATTTCTTCTGAAAAGGATTGTGAAAGGTGAGGAAAAAATCTAGAGCAGTGCTGGGGGCACTCGCCTCTTGCACTCTCCGGCCAACACTTTCCCTTTCATTGGGCCACGTAAGCTTGTTTAAGCTTTGAAGGTAACCTCTCACCGACCAGACTAACGTGGCCCAATAAAAGTGAAAGTGTTGGCCGGAGAGTGCAGAAGGCGAGTGCCCCTAGAACTCCTCAAAAATCTAAGACTTAACCAGAGGGGAGGAAAGTAACAATGGTTAGTGTTCAAAGGCAGGGGCTGGGGTTACTGATCAAAATGCGTTCTGTGTCACGTGACGTGTGTTTGTCGTGGCGTAACCTCATGCGTGACAGCCGAGACCGTCAACGTGGCAAATTTTCACTGGGGGGGTGGACGTACCACCGGTCTGTCCCCACGTCGCCTAAATTGATTGGTGGTTTATCGGTCTATTAACTCCTTCCGTGAAAAAAGACGGGCAAGCATGGTGAAGTTGCTGAAAAGGTAAATGACTGTAATTATAACAGCACCAGTATATTGGGTCCTTTTAAAACCATGCAATTAAACGTTTTAGGACGAGAGTAAATACTAAAATGAATGATCTCTTGAGAAGTTTTTATGTTGTACCCCTTTGTCTTCTTTTCTCCCATCCTCTATTACGAAGGGGATTTTTTTTTTTTTTTAATTGAGAGAAATTGGATAATTGAGGAAGGGGAAATGATGATACAAAGAAGTTGAACTTTAATAATGTGGGTAAAACACTCATATGATAACTATGTAAGTCACGTGTTATGGTTTTGTTATGAAAGGTTTTAGAATTTATGTTAATGGTATAATTAATATATTTTTTAAATGTTAAATTATAAAAAATATAAAAAATATTTTGATTTCAATATTAATATCATGAATTTGATGTAAAAAATGATATGATACATAATTTTCTTAATACTTTAAAAATTAATTAATTTGCATTCATAAATTTAAATTTATAATCTTAATTTAAAGTTAATATTTTTAATTTAAGAAGTATTTATTTAGTTAAATTTATAGTAGCACACAATGCATGTAAATACCAAAAATATCAATATTTATTTATTTTAATAAAATTATTTAGAATTTTTCTATTTTGTATCATAAGAGTATAAGATAAAAAATAATTATTAGTTAATAATAATGATTTTTTTAA